CTCGTACATGTTCTTGTCCATTTTGGTGACCTGCCATCTGTTCATGTGCATTCATGGTTTTAAATGCAGCCACGTCCACAGACTCCCTCACAGCCTACAATCATGCACAAGCGCTGGTTGAGGTTCCCTGATCCCTCCATTAGTCAATCGATCACATGAATCACTTGTCAATGTTGCCAATTAATCATTCAAGTCATCTGTTAAGTACAAATCCCAAACATTTGCTGGCTCCACGTTCTCCAAATGTTGGGATTTGCTTGGCTTTCCAAGCATAACAAACTGCATCTGTCACTTTCTACCCATAATCCCCCTTGTTTTGGGTTCATTTACTGTATGGCTGCTTTGGTTTGTTTTCTCGATTTCTGCTGCAGGACACTCGTTAGGTCTGATTTGTAAACTCTGACGGGTTTTATCAGCTCTGATATCGGCGGTGGTTGTGCATGAGGATAATTGAATTAGCGCGCATTATTCTAAGGCCATTTAGTAAATGTGACATTTAAGAGGGGAATTAAAATGCAAAGAGAACTCCAATTTTACAAAAATGGAAACTCCTGCAGAGGAGCAGCTCTCTGAGGTAATCTGAATATTGTATAAATGCCACATAACTGTAAATTTCCACATGTGAGATTTTTTTTTTTTTTTTCTCCCAGACTGATCAAAATTACATTGAAATGCTAAGTTAGTGCAGCTCTTCCTCCTCAGTTCAAATTTTAATGCCTTCTCAGTGTGATTCATGGCTAATTTGAGACAAGACTGCATGATTAACGCACATGAATGTTTAATGTGTTAAACTGTGCTCTGGGCGGCTCGCAGCGGGACTGAAAGTTACGTGTTCGGGCTAATGATCCTTTGACTTCAGCAGAAATTGGTTCGGGTCCAGCTGAACATGCTGGAAGATTTATCAAAAACATATATGTCATTTACAGCCAGGAATGTTTAACCAACTGAAATGTGCACTCTTAACATAACAGTACATGCTACCACACACTTTATACACTTTATAAGAGAATAACGTGACATTTAGGAAACAAGGGTGGAACAAGTCCTTCTTGATTTGATGGAGAAAAAAAAATGCAGGAACGTGTTTTATATGTATTTTATAGTCTTGAAATGGGAAATAAGTCCATATACAGAGCTGGAAAAGCTTATTTTCTACTGCTGCACACTTCAATCATTTCAAGCAAACAGGTGATTGAGTGGCGGGTATCCGTTCATCCTGCAGGTTGGATGAATTTTATCGTACGTTGTTTTCCAGAAGCTGCTTTGGGTCCAGAAGGTTGATGGACCCTTAGTGCAGAAACTATTAGGTGATGGTAATTTTTGATTAGTTATGCTTTAATCTAGAAAAAAATGATTTTTTTTTAGTAATGTTGCAACTAGTAGACGCCTTATTTTGCCATTTAGACATAATAGTGACATTTTGCGAGGCAACCAGTGTCTTAACTTTAACTAGCTGGTAGAAATACTCAACATGTACCACTAGTGAACCCTTTAAAGGTTCCACATTAGCATGCTAGCATGTTAGCATGTTTTCATTATTTACTCATTACGTCTGAGACATCACATCTTATCGTTTGTTGGTTGCACTGGTTGCATTTTCCCACTTTTTTTTTTCACCTCAGTCCAAACACTTGCAAAGTTTGGTAATTTTATATTAAATTTTATGATATGTATGATGTTGGGAACACAAATCCCAATGTTTTCACTGATCTCCAAGTGTTCTGGGGCAAAACATGCAGTCCTGTGTTGGTGAAAGAGTGTGAACAGGTGAATGGAAGTCAAAAACAGGAACGTACATTGTCGTTCAACGTAAAAAAAAAAAAAAAAAGGGCTATATATATATATATATGAAGACTGCATCTTCTCACTACCTACGGGATAAATGTATTACGTTATGCAAGTATTTTCATAGGCTAAACATTACTTAATACTTGAGAAAAAGCCAACTCACTAGCTTCTTTTCAGAGCTCTGAACCACATCTTGCAGTCGTCATCAGCAGATTGACTCTGATCTGCAGTCATGGTGGTTATCAGCATTATATCAAGCTGTGATGCTTTTGCCCTTTTTTGGTATTTCCATGTTGCAAATTATTCTGCTTTATTGCCACCATATACAATATGCCAATACTGACATACCTGCAACTCTTTGTGGGGGAGAACTTTAGAGTTCCTTCTTATAATATCACCGGTGTTGGTTATGAGCTCATCAGTCAAACTCGACAGTTGGGGGACGTTTGTGCACAATGATCTTATGGACGTATCACAGTTAATGTGACAGAAACTCAGTGTGTTGGCGTTTGAAATGTCAGTGTGTTTGCTATGACGAGGCTCTACTCTTGTGTTTTTTGACACTTGTATTTGTGTCCTGTCTTATTTTCTTTCCCTTCTTGTGTTCTCTCCAGGTCTCTCGGCCTCGGCCTCCCTGGTCTCGCTGGCCTGGATGATCGCCTCCTACCAGAAGGTCCTCCGAGACTCCCGCGACGACAAGCTGCCCATGTCCTACAAGGCCGTGATCGCCCAGATGCTGTGGCACTTCTTCACCATCGGGGCAAGGACCGTGGCCTTCGCCCTGTTCGCCTCCGTCTTCCAGCTCTACTTTGGCATTTTCATCGTCAGCCACTGGTTGGTCCTGAAGGGTCACATACATCCATTAGTCCATGTTTTACTGCCACAGAGGAGACATTAATCTCCTGTTCATGTTTCGTGGTGTCTCATCTCCAGCGTCCGTGAAAGCTACATGACTTCGCCTGGTTAATTAGTTTAGAAACACAGAGCTGCAACCACAGTAATAAATAACAACGTCGAGGCACTAAAACGTGATTGATAACGGATGTAAAACACCACCTGCACAAGTCTGCCTTTATGCAGACGATATGATTGTTTATCTCATTGATTACGACTCTCAATCTGTACACAAGAGCACTCCAAAATCAACATCTTTTTGCTAATTTAGGATGTAAATACTCTCTAAAAACATGCATTTTTTCCCTAAATCTAACTTTAACTCTTTAACACTTTAACATACAAATACTACACTGTTCAAAAAAATACTCCATTACAAGTAAAACTCCTGATATTTGTAATGTAAGTAGAATCAGGAAAATGTACACAAATCATTAGACTTAGACGTACAAAAACTTTAATAATCCACAAAAGAAATTGCTTTGTCACAGTAGCAAGCGTACAAAATAAGTAATTATACAAAAAAGTAAGCAGGAAAAAAGGAATACAATACAAAAAGTTCAATACAAAAATTTCTACATGTACAATTTTATCTTTTTTTCCCAAGTAAGTAAAGACAATCTAAAAAAAAAAAGAAAATAAATGATACTGTGAACACACAAAAATATGAATATAAATATAAAAATAAAAATATACGTATGAGAAAATAACACTGACTATTATTAATGATGTAGTTGATTGAGGTATTTTGTACATGGCCCTAAAACTGAGCATTTGACCCTTGTGGCATGTTTTTAAATGGTTATGTCTCATCTAGTAATCAGCACTTAATTAATTCTGTGTTAGTCACCTTGTATGTTAGCAGCAGGTGCACAAGAACTAATCCAGCTGAATGTGGCATTTCTCTGCACAGTAAACAGCTTTCTTATGTAAACTCAACTACGTCCTCTCATACCATGGACCTTTTAATCAGCTCATTTTTGCTAATTAAATCACAACAAACGGCTTCCTCTGCACTTTACAGGTTCCTTCCCTCCCCCAAGGAGAGACATTTAGAAGTGGCTAATTTATAAATTCCCATCCACACTCGTTGTGATTATTTATAGGTTTAGCAAATTGGTGCTGAAGGAATGCGGCTTTCCGTGAACAGAAATTCAGTATTAATGTCTCATATCTGGTGCCAAGTGTCGTAATGTGGATTTGCTTAATTCTGCGTGCGTTTGCTGTGTTTTGAATGTTTTTACACGGAGTTTCCTTTCATACCCACACTGTTCATTTAAAAAAACTCTAAATAGAATGGATGGAATTACATAACTAATTATGTCATTGTGTTGGTGGAGGTGTTTTAAAAGACACTGCGCTACAAACTGAGAGATTTATGGAACATGTCTTGTATTGTCTCTTTATCTTTGCATCCACGTGTGCTTTCCGGTACTCAAAGCTGCTGTAATTGATTTTTTTGTGTGAAAACAATGTCATATTGTGAAAAGAGTCGCCCGTGGTGAATTATCTCCTGAGTCTGCAGCTCCTATCGGCTTTGCAGGGCTTTACCGTCGGTTTCAGCTCATTATCTAGCTGTCGGGTCCACAACTTTTACTGTTCCAGGCTCGCTGTTCAGCACTCCCGAGCTTTTTGGCCACGGCACAGATTTTCGACAGCTGTTTTGAGTGACAAAGCTCTAAAAATCCTCTATACACATCCTGCTCAGTGCCAAACAGCAGACATTCAAAGTTTGCAACCAGCTGGTGTATACAGCTGAAGAGCTAGTTGTGTCCCTCAGAAGTTGGTAAAGACTAAAAAGCGACCTATAACAGAGTGAACTTAACATGTCATATCGAAAAAGTGTTTTTTTAAGAGCTAAAAGCAACTAATTATGTGCTAACAAGTTGGTCGTATGAGCTTGCTGTCACTGTGGTGTTCACTAATTGTTTCTGCTGCCCCAAAGTGGTCAAAAAAGCAGTTAATTCAGATATTTCTGGCAGATTGCTTACTTGTATCGTCAAGCTACAGGAACTTGCAAATCAGCTTGATGTGTGGGGTTTAGCATGCTGTTATTGACAGCTAATACAGGGACTTTATTAAGCCAATAGATTGTAATCCATCACTTTCTACCCCATTAACATTTTGACAATTTTTACATCTGAATTTGACGGTTTTAGAAGTAGAAGTTGAAATTATAGCTTTCTGTGGTGCCAAAGGGAAGGTTAAAGGTACAGTAGAGGTATAAAGTTTAGCCCCTTGGAAGCATGAACTACAAGAGAAGTAAAGTTAAGTGGTACTGGACGGTTTCACAATCAAAAATGTTCTTCGTTTTGAGAACTCTGAAGATCGACCAACAATGTGGCCGATGCAAAAATGCAGCATGAAGCCACTTGTATTATTTGCAACACAAATCTTCATATATAGTGGAATATAAAAGCCAAGCCGGTAAAGCTCTGGGCTGAACAAATAACAATTTTTACTTCCTACTTACTCCTGAGCCAACTGTGCAATAACAATGTTGTTCTCATTGTATTGAAACGTGGTATGAAGTGGAAGGTTTTTAGCTGTAGTAATAGCATTGATTTTGGAAGTAGTATTGGCAGTGTTTAAAAAAAAAAAAAAAAACCCTTCTCAATAGAAACTTGATCTTTAAAGTTGTGTAAGTTGCTAAATTTGTACCATCAGCTGTCAACAGGAGTGGTTCTGCTGTTACGATCTGTGTTGTTTTTCTGTCTTTCAGGTGTGTCATGACCTTCTGGATTATCCAAGGCGAGACCGACTTCTGCATGTCCAAGTGGGAGGAGATCATCTACAACATGGTGGTGGGTATCATCTACATCTTCTGCTGGTTCAACGTCAAGGAGGGCCCTAGCCGCTTCCGCATGACCGTCTACTACTCTGTGACGCTGGCCGAGAACGTGGCGCTGACCGCCGCCTGGTACACCTACCGCGGACCGCACACCTCCGACTCCTACGCCCTGGTGGTGGTGTGCCTGGTGGCCTGCAGCTTTGCCCTGGGAACCTTCTTCATGCTGGTGTACTACTGCTGGCTCCACCCCGACGGGCCCGTCCTCGGTTCGCAGTGGGGCGGATGCGTGGACGAGGGCGTGGTGGGTTCAGGAGGGGTGGCGGGAGTGATTGACGCTTGCCTTACTCCATCCCAAGGGTCCCAAACGGACATGGTCATTACCAGTCCTCCGAGGACTCTGCCCAGGACTAAAGACACGGGGGAGCCGGTTCCCGGGGAGCGAGACAGGGACAGTTGCCTGCCCGTCTTCCAGGTCCGTCCCTCCCCGTCCTCCTCTCCTGCACTCCTGCACAGGACCTCCTCCTCATCTCGTGCACAGGAGGGCCCTGTGATCCGGATTGACCTCCCGAGAAAGAGATACCCGGCCTGGGATGCACACTTTATCGATCGGCGCCTCCGCAAGACCATCCTGCTTCTGGAGACCACATCAGCCGTCAGTCCCAGGATACAGTACAGGAGTAGCATGATGGGCAGCAAAGAGGTGTTAGAATATGAGACAACTGTTTAAGCCAACAGGGGCTCTTAACTTTAAAAGTGCAGTCTGGGACCAAGGCTCAGCCGGAGATCAGTTCTCATCCCAGGACTACCTTCGCCAGGAGAAGCATGAAAAGAAGACACCGAGTGTCGGGCAACTCTTTTAAAGAAAAGACGTTGTCAAAACTTGATTGTAAAATGTGAAGCGCAATCTGGGACCAAAGCAGTCCGGGAGTAAGTAGCATGAATGAGCCGTGGGAAGCTAACGGAGTAATACAGAACTGGGATAATCTTCTTTTTCTTTTGTAAAAGCTTGGAGGTGAGCAAACTAATCTCTCATCCTGGGACCAAGGAGTGCTGGATCTTGTTTCATCCTGCACGGTCAGTACAAGAAGTAAAAGGATTTGAGAGAAATTAAGTTGTGGAGTTTGAGATCTTTGAGAAACAGCCTGCTGCATGAACTTGAGCCTCGGACCCCAGAGACACAACAGAGACTTGCCGATTAAGAAACTGGTGGCTAGAGTATGCATGGGACATGCAATCGTTTTGGTTTGGTAGCAAAGCTAGACACTAACATAAAATGGGGCCTCATTAACCAAATGCTCAAGAGATTTGTCAGTCAAAAGATGCCTATACGTGTGTTATAATACAGACAGCTTACTTTGCAACCGAATTCAACCCAGGTTTAGCCAAGACACCCAGATCATTTTTTTGAACTTCCAAAGTGAGAATTTACTCGGCATTTGTCATATTGTGAGAAATAGTGACTTTCAAAGAATATACGTACAAGTAACAGATGCTAATTATTTTGTTGTTGTTTTTTAAGCTTCCAAAAGGTTGCATGTCCCTCACAACCATTTGGTGACCATCCTCTAAGCATTCTGTCAGTGGTGTCACAGAGAAATGTAGTCTTGCCCACTGGGCTCCAGTCTCACGAGACCAAGAGGATCCATCCAATGCAGGCTCACATGTCAGTGTAGGTCCAATTGGTTTATGAAATTAAGGCCTGAGATACCAGTCACCCATCCATATGTGCTACAAAAGCAGCCATTGTAAAAGTCTCACTGTTACCGCCAACCTGAGGAAGGACTTGTTTGGGGAAAAATAAAAAAAATAAAAAATCAGTCAGGACGAGGATGTAAGGTGAGCAACTTCTGCAATGGCTACCACCATATGGCATGCTGTAAGTCACCACAAATAGGCCTGTGATGTACAGATGTCAGATATAAGCTGTTATAATAAGCTGTAGTTAGTTGATGAATGACTTTTGAGTGAAGAAGCTTCATTTACTCGCAAGAGTCTAAATGTCGTCCAAAGTTGTCCACTTTTTTTGGAATTCATAACATGTAGGGCGTGAAGGGCGTCATGAGCAGCCTCATTAAGCTACGAAAACATTTTCCAGGGTTTGTTTTTTTGGAGAACGGTAGCTGTGGAGAAATGTTTATCAGTTGGAGATTTTAGGAAAGGTCTGCTGAAATTTATTTGTGAATACTAAAAAGAGAGACTAATGCTAATCCAGTTTTAATGAAGAACACTTACACTTCAGTTCCTTACAAGTATTACAAACAGGTTCCAGAAGCTTTGCAAGAAAGGTTCAGGAGGAAGAACATACAGCTGTGAGAAAATGGCTTCACCTTTCATTGGGACAGCTGAGACTTCCTAATGAAGCAGTTTTTGGCTGAGAAACGCATCGCAGTACTTGAAAACCTCAAAGGAAGCTATTTCATGTCTGCTCCAAAAGTGAAGAATGAAATCAAGAGATTCAGGTTTGTTTGTTATTTCCAGACATAAAATGTCGTTTCTCACGACCTCAGGTGCTAACACAAGAACACACACACAACAAATACACAATAAGATATGTAGTGAAAGTGTAGGATTCACAGCAGCCAACACCAGTGTCACAACTGTTTGTGACAAATAAAAGCCTTGAATCTTGAGAATTGTGGAATTTGGGTATAAAAGTATACAAACAATACTGTACAACTGAATTCTAAATTCTGAAAGAATATCAACAATCTACTACCTAACCAGTGGCCTGTGTGTACTCGTACATAACATAAATGGGATGCATATATAATGGTGCAATGTCAAGTGTTAAAGAAAGAAAAATCACAGATGGATCTTTGGAGGGAACTAATTAAACAAGACTTACTGGAAGACTAGAGCGAGTGTAGCTGCAGGAGGTGAATATATTGAAGTTTTCTTCATTGAAACTGAATTACAGCATTAGTCTCATTATTTAATAGCTGCGCCTTGTTTGCTCAAAGCAAATTGATAAATAAAAAAAAAAAAAGTTAAAGATGCAAAGCACCAACAGCTGTTACAAGTAGGACGTGAATGACGTAGGGTTTGAACTTCCTGAAAAGTGGTTTTGTGTACCACATGCATTTTCGACATTTTTCTCCACCGCTCTTGCCAAAAAAAAGTGTCCAAAAATAAATCAAAAGTGGCCACATGTAGGCCTTTTAATGTACAAAATATTCTGCCAGATTTGAACTTATAATAATAGCTGATGCCGTAGCTAGACTGAATTAAACAGAGAAGCAAAAGTGGTAGGAGCTGATGAAAAATCCTCTTTGCACCTTTAAACTGCCGACGCGATGCCCTGCAGCAACGACGAGCAACGTGAGCAGAGCTGATCAGTAAACAGCTTCAGAGGTCGGAGTTTAAACGCAGCAGCTCCCAGGTGCCAACGAGTGCTACTATCAATTAAAAGCCGCTCGGTGCTTAAGAAGTCAAGCGCGGTCAGCAAACACCGTCTGAAGGAAGAACAGTTTAAAAAAAAAAAGAAAGAAAAACACCGCTAGCATCAAAGCTAGCTTCTGTCCGCTCTCATATAGCACAACAGATTTCTCTTCAGCAGCCTCTCTTTGAAGTTCTTTTCAAAGCCGGTTTTCTTTAAAAGCTTTAGGGTTCGTCTGTGCGTTTAAGGCTGTTACAAAGAAGGAGTTCTTTATGTCCGTCCAAAAACACCGAAGCCAAGGTTGTGAATTCATATAAAGATGGCAAAAGGTGTATAGCGTCGCTCTAAAAAAAACGCTGAGTTGTGAGACTCAGACACGTCTTAAAAACACTTTGAACAATGCCTTCGGGATACTGAGCAAAGATAAAGACTAAGTTTATGACAGCAGTTTAACTGGTTTGTTAATCTCAGTAGAAGGAAAGGGAACATCTTGATGTTGCAGCTCGAAACGCATTTAGCAGAGACCAGTGCTAATGACACGAGCACACAAGCCAACATATGAGACCATTATAATGTAATTACTACCTAAATTAAACAGCTATGAACTTGTTTAAAAATGTTCAGTTCATGAATGCTCAGCTGATCTGACGGCCTGTTTGTAGCTGTCGTATCGGATGCGTTGTTAATGATCATTTCTATGCTGATGATGCTGGCGTTTACTCTGAGGTGTTGAGGGGACTTGCATTGGAACAGTTTCTGCTCTGTTGCGTACTTCAGGCCAACTGGTACAGAAAATCAGAAGAGCAGCTTAGATGCTTACTTTTTAACAATGCAATCGTAGCCAAGCAAACTTTGGCTCTACCCATCCACTCGGAGGCTAATCAGGGCATAATACCACCTGAGTGACAACAGGGCTGGAGCACACTGCTTGCTTCACAGCCTTTCATCGTTCAAAGAGACTTTCAGCACTACTTTGTCTTCATCAGAGTCAAAGTTCTGTCAAAACGTACGTCTGTTTGAACAATAAGAGGCTGTGAATCAGGCAGTGTGCTCCAACGACCTTTACGTTCTCTGGAAACTCCGCGTCCTCGAGCTGAAAAGCTCCTGTTTCCGCTGCTAGAAGATCCACGGAGAACCCTGTTTATGCCTGAATACCACCTTCTAGAACTTACAATTACTTTGCATCGCTCAAATATTTGAGGTCAAGTTGGCGCTAGAGCGAGGCGTGAAGGATCGTTGACTGTGTTTACATGGACCTGGTTATGATCATGTTATGGAAGTATCCTGTTTTTCTGTTAGTACATCAAAACACCATATTCTGATTTCAGAAGCTAGGACAAACCCCTATCTCAGTTTCAAGACAACCTGATCATGCTGGCTTGAGTACCAGGTTTCTAACCGTTGCTGACCAGCTTCAGCCTTGTGACAAAACAGAAACATAAACTACCTGGATTTCTTCATAAAGTGGCTCATGGCCTTTTCCAGTGTACTGCTACTGTGCTGTTGTGAACCTCAGACTGTTTAGAAATCAACAGTATTTCCTGCAGCTGCCTAGTTCGTGCAACATTATGACCACTCCCATCGGTAACGAATCTGGTGATCATATCGTTGGTTCCATGGTTTCATAAAAGGTTCAACACAGCCGGTAAAAGGATGCAATTTACGTGTGGACTATTTACCATTCACCACTTTCAGCCCGACATCTCTGAAAACTCGCTGTTATCCTCTGTTCCTGCTAGCCTCACTATAAGCCAAAGGGGCCTCAACAACCACCGTCAAATTAAAGCTACGCTAACGTTAGGAATTGTTGATTAAATTCTGAACATCACAGGTGTAATCAGTCACCAGACACTAGTACATATCACGTACATGTGGGTATGAATAACCTGCTAATTTATAACGAGGATGTAAACACAGTCGATGAACTCTTGTGTAAATTTCAAGACAGCTGGGACGGGAGTGTTGACTTGCTCTGAATCAGAGTTTTCACTGCTGTCAATCGAGAAAAACTTGGACGTCACATAAATGCAGGTCATGATTTTGGACACATTCCGTGAGTTTGTCTTCAGGTCTTTGCGCTGCTGCTGCTGTCGTCTGTCGAGTCTGCTGCTGCCTGTATTTCACTCACCGATGCGTCCGTTTGCATCTTGCAGATGTTTTGCCTGATTCCTGAGAATGTCGGACAGCCGGCGCCTTTAGGGATCGTAGGCGATGCGAGGTAACCATCTAGTATGCAACTTTTAAAAACAAGTACGAAAGTGCTCCGATGCTAACAAGGTTGGTGGATGTTTGTCCTGCTTTGATGGTCGTTGGTGGTGCGGATAATTCAGGAATGCAAATAATTTTTAAAAAACACGTCTACTGCTAATAACTTGGTAAAATACGGTCTTGCTGTCCGGACGGTGTTGTGTCCTACCCGAACTCGTGGATGTCGGTCCAGTCGCGGCGATGTTAATGGTGCTGAAAACAATGACTCACACGCGATCATGTCACGTCCAACATGATGGGCTAATGTACAGATGATGCGTACGTCAAAACCGCCCAATCGGGTGGGCCGGGGCGGGGGAGGGGAGGGGCGAGGTTTCGCTTGCTCTGATTGGGTGATGAACCAGTCCGTTGTTGTCGAGGTAAAATAACAGTTAGTAGTGGTGCGCTGATTATATATCGACTTGAACAAAAACATGTTTAACAGTAAACAGTGAGTTTAAGAAAAAAAAAAAACTCAAATCATCTTTTATTAATTAATGCAAGTATTTATGTTTATTTATTTTTGTATTTGTTTTATATCTATTTATCTATTGTTTACTCACTCGGTGGCCATGTCTTTGGTATGACTCTTATATTAAGATGTAAAAACTGAAAATAGATTTTTTTTTACTCATTCTATATATCTGTATATACCAGAGTGACGCTATTCTAGGACGTGCGTGTATGAGTACGTGTGCTTTGGTTCGTATGTATGTATCGTATGTACAGTATGTATGTAAGGGTGTGCTCTAAGTTTTTTTGATAATGCTGCTTAAACATCCTCTGAGTGACCGAAGCAGAAAAATACAACCAGTGGTGAAAATATCTATGACGATGTTAAAAAAAAAAAAGAAAAAAGAACTCAACAAAGCTGTGCTGATAACTGTAGATGGGAACAATACTGTAGTAAACATGGCTGACCAGCCGTCAAAATAAAACCCCGGATGTGTCCGTGTCTTCTTTGATGCCGTGAGGGTCGGAAATTATTCAGGATATTGTGACAAACGAACATTTTTCACTGTTTGGGGCTGCGTTTGAGATTTTTTTTCAAATACCGTCTAAAGTACAAATACAACACTCTGGTTCATATATATACAGTCGTGACTCGATAATCTGACNACAATGAGCCCAAACACACATCAAAGTGGTGAAGAAATGGTTCCATCAGGCTGGAATGAAGGTTCTAGACTGGTCTCCCCAAAGTCCTGACTGGAACCATCCAGAACCTGTGGACTGATGAAGGAACAAGTCAGAAAGACGACACGTTTAGTTGTACTGCAGCGATTCTGTCCAGAGGAGTCAGAGATGGACCAGAAGCTGGTGGACGGAACCAGAAGTAAGTAGTTGAGGTGAAAATGACTTTTAACCAAATTATATTAGAATTGAAATAGAAATCTAGACAAGAACCAAAGTATGTGAATGTTTTTAGTGACAAAGACTCAAAGAGTTTTAGGAGTCACTGGAAACCCAAGACTGGTCTTTACCAGTGGATGGAAACTTTTGTTCACGACTTTACGTCATCAAGTCCAGCGTTGAAACGTTTTGATCAGCGCTCGTTTTTACTTCACTAACCACAAATGCAACCTGCAGAATGACAATAAGGCTCATTTAACAGATAAATCTATTTGTTTTAGTTGCAGAGAGAGCGGCTGAAAGTCGCTAAAACATCGAGCAGCGAAGTCGTGGACGAACGAAACTAACAATCGACGCATTTTAGCAAATTTAGATTTTATTGCCAACAGACTGCAGTGAGCTGCAATGTGCTGACTGCATGTTATCAGGATGTTATCAGGCCCTGGTGGAGTTTCCTCTCGGACAGGAAGTGGGCTTCCTCCGCTTCCTGTGTGTGTGTGTGTGTGTGTGTGTGTGTGTGTGTGTGTGTGTGTGTGTGTGTGTGTGTGTGGTCTCAGAAGAACAATCAGCGCAGAAACAGAACAAGAATGAAGCAGCAGCCGAGATCGGAGCTAAAATAACCCGAGCGAGTCAGACGGGACGATGGAAAAATCAACCGAGAGTCGGACGCAGAGGCAACAGAGGACAGACTGAAACAGAAATTAGATCCAGGAGGAGCCTGACCGGGACCAGAACCCAACAGAACCACCACGGGACCAGAACAGAGGAACCAAGATGGACTATGAGCCGAAGAAATCCAAGAAGGTAAAGCTTCTGTTCTACATCTCATGTTCTCACCTCAGTCATCATCCGACCAGAAATGTAATATTTTCAGGAAGGAAACGTGTTGATGATGATAAAAATTAGCAGGAAATGTAGTTTTGGTTTCACTCTAACTGGGCCTTGACATGTTCTGCTCCACTGCAGCCCAAGTTCAGGCTTTATTTGTGTTAGCTGGATATAAATCAGAGATAATGTTCTTCTTCTGCTAAGTTCTGCTTCAGACCCGGTATTCACTCCCATAAAGGTTCAGGTCTGACGTGTCATTTCACTCATTTTCTGCTTAAAATGGACAAATCGCTGACCTCAGCGATAAGGAACAAGTTATTAAAATGGAGAGCTACGAAGAAAATCTAAAAATTTATAATGGCAAGAAGCATTATTTCTGCAAATGATGCAAGAGAGGAACGTTGGTGGAAAACTGTTGATGCTGTCAGTGATTATATTTATTTTTCCATTCGGTGACTCAGCTGCACATGAAGCTCTGAAACTCTAAGATTTATTCATTTTAAAACAATACTGTACAAGTGCACCGCCCCATAATGACGTAGACGTGGAGATAGCTTTTATTTATGGTCAAATCAAGGTGAAATTACTGGTATTGATTAAATATTCTCTGGGATAAATACCAAAAAATGAATGTATTTTGGAATCTGTGTTCTATTCGCTGCAAAAACCAAACCTGGCAGCAAATCAGGACCAAAAATAAAAGTACATGTGTGCATTTTCTGCTTTAGTAACTGAATAGATGTCTGGTTCCCGTGGCAACGTGACATCTACAGTTATCCTGCTGCAGCTGGACGGCTTCATTCCGTGTGATCGCTAAAGCACAGCTCAACAGGTTTGCAGATAAAACCATCAGAGATCAGGAGAAGAATCGATGAAAGAGAGATGATTTAAATCCGAAACTCTAAACAGAAACTTCTTTGGAGCAGGTTAGCTGTGTAGCATCAGTTACCGTGGTGATCTAGCTGTGCAACATCAGTTACCATGGTGATCTANTCAGTGGTGCGTCTATGGTCTGGTTTCATTACGTTTGGTTTACAAGTTTACAGCCTCACTTCACTGGTACACAAACGCATCATTTAGTCTGCACAGTTCAGATGAAGAAAAGAAAAGATGATCTGCATCACCATGAACCCAACAAGTCTGAATATCGGGATCCTATAGAATCATTCATGGTGTGATTTTACCAAAATAGTTAACATACTACTGAATAAAACCCTGCAAAAGTTCTATAAAGTCCTGCTTTACCTGACTGTAGTTCATATTAATGCTACACATGAAGGCTGCGATCAGGTGTTTTGGTGTTTCATGTCTCGTTGACCGGCCCATCACACCTGGTACTCTCATGTTCCTACCAGTTTGGAAATAATTCTGTTAAATAAAGTTCCCAGGGATGGGTTTCTGTTTTAATCGGAGACAGAGGACATCTGTACTGGTGTGTTCCAGGCCCTGATCTGAGTCACAACAGTTGATCAAAAAGTTCTGGGACTCTTCATCTGACGGCCGTTTTATTCGACTTTGTTTTCAGGAACTTCCTTCATGATTCTGTGTGATCTTGTGCATTTTATTTTCTTTTTTTGGCCGCTGGTAGGTTTGCATTTTCTTTCACAGAGTCCAACCTGGAGAAGAGAAACCAGAGAAGATCCAACGCTGGCGGGGTGGATCATCGCTGGAGACGAGTGGAGGGTCGGCAGCTACCATCAGGAGAAGAAACAGCAGCTTCACAGCATCCCAGCAGGAGCGCCGGGAGCATGCTGGTTGTCTTCCTCAACATTCATGCAGTTGTGCATGTGGGTCGGACTGTTGAGGCACTCGCCCTCCTCACCGGATTCCTCCCGCTTTCCCAGAAATCTAATGTCCGTCGAGAAGTCACCGATTTGATCCAGCTGAGGAGATTCTGCGCTCACTGCAGATGGGGTTTGATACGTTCACATGACGGATCTTACAGGAAGTGTTGCAGGAGCAGCGCCGCGCCAGGAGACGGCGGCCATATTTAAATCAGGTACTTTTTTAAAACACACTTTCATAATTTATTGATCAACCCTCGTGCAATTTGTAAGGTACTTTAAATACTTAGTGAGACTTTAATTTTCCTTTTCAGTCCATGAAATACTTCTTTACTGTTTGTGCTGCAGATTTAAACAACCACATCCATGTCGTACTGGTTTGTGGTGGTGGTGCTGTGGGACCAGTTTGACCTGCTCAGACATACTTGCTGCTCGTACACCTGCAGTAAATACTGTCTTTAAAACTTCTTAATTTTATGTATTTGAATCAGAACATCCTTATTTCAGCAGCTTCATCTCAGCGCTGCACAACAGCTGCTGAATTCTAATTTAAAACACAAAAACTGAAATAATTCATTGGAAAACAGACACATGAAGCTCAAACTCTGGACCGCTCGCCGGGTTTCCAGAAGGAGGCGGAGCTGAAGGCGAAGCTGGAGCTCCACCAACCTTCTTCCCCGAATCTTCCCGCCCAGTTTCTCCTCTTTCTCCTCCGTCTTTCCTCTCGAGGGCAACAACAAAATCTCTCCGTCGAACCGGCATGCTTTGATCTCGCCGTCTCTCACGTCAGCATCCCTCCATCCTGACGGCTTCTTGTTTATTTGGTCGACGTCTCCGGAGATCCAGCGACCAAACAGCGAGTCTTCCTCCTCCTCCTCCTCCTCCTCCTCGCTTTATCTTCTGGTCCAAACTGCTTGTTTGTTTCCTTCTTCCTCTTGTGTGTTTTCAGTCCAAATCCTTTCTCTGCTCGTTTCTTGTCATTTGTTGAGCAGAGAACAGAGAACGGACGGCGGTGAGCTTTCTTTGTGCTTTTTGTTCTTTTCATGTCGTCCTCATTGTTCAGCTGTTGTTTCTTCTTTTTCTTGTCATTTCACAAGTTTTGTTTTTTTTATTTATTCCTGTTCATGCATCCTTCTGCTTCACCGTCAGCGTTGTAAAATATCNTGGTGGCTGCTAAGGTGAGAATCCGTGTTTATTGTGCTAAAACTTGTAGATATGAAATAAAAGTTGGGATTAAGCAGGTTTAAATAGGAGCTGAGGAACCAATCGTCAACCAGCTTTGTATAACTGATCAACTATTGGTCCATCCAGCTGGACAGGAAATGGATTCAAAATATGTCTAAAATGACAAATCATGTCCAAAATGAGTTAAACAATGCCTCAAAACCTGTTGAAAATAATTGATGTTTGTCTAAAATGACCCGAAACTAGCTTCAAGTATGAACATGAGTGACTCAAACTTGCACAAAAATGACTTTAAAATTAGTCTAAAATAACCCAAAATGACTCAAACCATGTCCACCGTGAGTTATAAAATGTCCAAAGATTGTCCTGATTGACCTAAAAACTCAAAAACATCAGAGCCACGAGCAAAACTCACCAAAAGTCTTGTCCAAAATTACTTTAAAATTGTCCATAATGACTCAAAACAAGTCCAAAATTGATTAAAACAGGTTCAGAGTTACTCAAATGTGTCCAAAATAATAAAAACTTGTCCAAATGGTCCAAAATGACTTCAAACTAACTTCAAAGTGTGAACACGAGAGTCTTCATGCACTCAAAGTTCCATAAAATGTCTTGAACATCACTCTAAAATAAGTCAAGTCTTGCCCAAAAGCGGTAAAATAACTCAAAACGGAATCAAAATAACTCAAAATCTGTCGAAAATAATCAAAACTTGTCTAAAATGACTCCAAATCGGTTCAAAACGACTCGACACCAGCTTCATGTGTGAACACAGGAGCCTGAATGCAGTCAGACTTGCAGAAAATGACTTGAAAATGTGTGTAAGATCACTGAAAACATCTCCAAACTGGTCCACAGTGACTCAGAATGTGTCCTGCTGTTGGCTGCAGGAGTAAACACAAGAGCCTCCATGCACTTCCAGCGTCAGTGGAAAACTGATTGATGCTTATGTCCCCACAACAATAGGAAAATCTTTAATGTTAGCGGGTGGCTAACGTTACCATTAGCGCTGAGCTACTGGTTTTAAAACCGCAACGTCGTCGGACAAACTCACCAAACACAGGAGTTAAAAAGAAACGGAGGATTCAGAGATGTTTGTTTGTAGAATAACTGCTCGCACTTAGAAGTGATAGAAAGTCAGCGTGGCTCTGGGCTGCCAATCAGAGAGTCTTCTTCCTGAAGGGGGCGGGGCCAACAACAGCTCAGGTGTATTTAAAACTACCGATAGAAGACTGAAACCAGGAGTTACACAGTCATGGAGAGATTGAAAAAGTATGGGATCAATGTCAATGTTCATAATCAATAATCAATAATGCC